AAACAGAGAATAAAAGGAAGTTAAAAATAAGGGAGCCATCTCACTAATTCTCCCGTCCCCTAGAGTCCCCAGGCCTGCTGGCATAGCCAAGTCTTAAGGGATTTCCGGAAGGTCAACAATGATGAGGCCAGCCTCACCTTTGGATATCAACAAAGCTGCATTCAAGACAATAATTAGGTCACATCACATTCCAGCTGGAAGATATTGTATTCTTAGAAATTCGCACAGCCTGTTGTTATGTTTGGTTTTGACTTAGTATGTTGTATGTACCTGACCATTATTGTTAGTAAACCAATCTTTCTAATTTAGCATTTGTATGAATTGAGACAAGTGTGGTTTATTTATAAAAACTGGTTACTTCCCTGTTTTATGCATTACAGCTAGGGATCTGGACTGCTTGGCCAATTCTTAAGATTTTCTTATCAGAAGAAGAAGTAAGATTCTGCATAATCATAATTCAAACAAAGTATTTTGTTGTACAGGTGATGAATACTCACAGTTCTTAAATACACACTTTCATGTGCAAACCAGGAATCTACAGGCAGAGCAATACCCATGATTATGACCCAATTGCATCCAGAATTTTTGTCAACTAAAATCTTGTGGAACTTCATGTTTTATTAAAAATCAGAAAGAGAGAAGAGACTCAGTTGCAAAAACCAAAGGGGAATCTCCATGAAAGCAATACAGAATCTATGATGGGATCAGTACTGCAGTAGCTCTGAGTCCACCTCATAGCCGCCTGATGAATGTCACATTATGTATGCATAGGATCCCATCAAAATCACAAGTGATTTCAACACTGCATATACTGAACATAACATGTCTGAACTCCAGTTCTGGAGTCATCTAGAAGATGGGACTGGCCAAAATATTTTGAATTCATACTATATAGGACATTATGTGGCCTGCATAAGAATAAAGCTGGCTTTAATGTCATACTTTATATCAGCAAATAAAAGTCCTTTGAGGCTTTGATCAACTCAACATTTCATGTTTTTTACTACAAAAGTAGCAAGTTCGTGCAGATAAGAAGGCCATGCATTTTAATTACATCCATTCTGCTATCTTCTAAGCTGGTGGAAAATATTCATTTGAAATGCACTGACAAATGGATATTATATGCATTTGAGTTGATACAGTATACCTATTAAGAAACTATTCAATATAACTATTTCCAGAAATGGAACACCTGCACAGAATTAACGCTACAATTCTGACTAGGGGTAATGATAGCTTGCAAACAACCCTTCAGCTTAAGATATATTGGTTGTCACCTAATTATTACTTACTCCAGATTATTCTGAAGATAGTAGAGAACTCCAAGCTCATTAAGTGTTCGAGCATTATCTGAGGTATCTTTGCTCAAAGTCAGCTCTTCCAGCTGCAGTGCTCGTTGGCGAAGAAGAGCAAATCCATACTAAAAACAAACAAACAAATTCTAAAGTCCAGTGGATAAGCCTAAGGGGAAACATGCTTGGAGTCAAGCTGCAGAATCCATGGCAGAATCTGAATATGGGTTGTTCTGCAGGCAAAGTACATGCTTTACTAACTGTAATAGGTCCTCTCCAGTTTAATACTATAGTTTAAAGCAAGGAAAATGGAAGCTTAAAACTAGATTGTAAAGCGTATAAAGATATCTCAAGAATTACCTATCCAGACAGACAGACAGATAGATAGACAGACAGACAAAAAGAATATTTGCTTGAAAAATCCGCCATCTTAAAAAACAAAACAAAGGGAGAGAGACAAATAAGAAGTAGGAAGGAGAGCACTACTAGATATTTTTTTTCAGAATTATGGAAATATTTGTGATTTTTAAAATATCGACTTTTTGAGCAAAAAGAAGAGAAAGCAATGTATTCATCAGGAACAAGGTAGCTGATTTCAAAGATTATGCTGAGTTATGGGAATTGATGTCAAACATATCTGAAGATTCAGAAAGGCCAAATAACAAGATCAACCGTGGAAAACACTAGTTCATAATATTATTTTCAGCAATACACTATACTGTATAAAATGTTCTGACAGATCTTTACGTATACAATTTACTCATTTTTATATACTCAGTTTTTGAATTTCATTTATCTGTACTTTCACCTTTTCTTTGTTTTCAGTTCTTGTTTCCTGAACTGAAACAATCTATTTTGGTAGGAAATTTTATATAAGCCAAATGTGATATAAAGCTTACAAAATATGTTCATAAATGACATCTGAATCAATTTATCACAACTGCCAAAAGCCTTGGAAATGAATCCACGCTAACAAGAATGCCAATCCAATCTAAGAACAACTGTTGCCATTTTTCTAAAAAATGGTGTCTCAAGTCAACAATCATTGCTTATGTAAAAACATTTAAAACAACAAGATGAAGTCACATGTATTTACCAGGCTGCCCTTCCGCCTTGCAGCTTTTTGCTGAATTTTGAAGGATTTCTTCCTAAGATGTTCAGCTTGTTCAAATCTAAAATGAAGATTCAGTTACCAATAACACTGGTAGATCAACATAAGTTTTAGTAGCAGAATATATTTAGAAGATCATAATTTCTCAGGGTATAGGGGGGCGGGTTCCAGCAAAGGCCAACAGATGGAGACCCTAACCCTAACCCTAATCCTGCCTATACAGTATAACTCTTCATCTAGAATATTACTGCAGGCATAAACATATACAGATTTAAACTTTTTCCTGATTTCTGCTTTCACTTTTCTGTTTTCTGCTTTCATTTCTTCTCTTATTAGATAGCTCACAGAAATCTGGTACAATGCAGATGCCCAGGTCAATATGTAGCTTTCATGTGAATAACACAGTTATTGTTTAACTGTGTCCTTCAAGTCAAACTTGAATTCTGATGATTCCATGAACTAATCTATTATTTCCTTGGCAACGGGATATAAGTGGTTTCCACTGCTTTCTTCCAAGTTTTTTTTTTTTTTTTTACTTCCTAGTGTAGCCTATGAGTTTTTATATTTCCTGGTGGCCTTCCATCAATGTATTAACCAGGTCCAAATCTACTTAGTTTTTTGAGATAAGCCAAGATGAAACCAACTTGAAACAATTCCTTAAAATGTTATTTCAAAACATTAGCTATAGTGATTCACAGAATGAATGAAGCAGATAACACATAAACTAAGAAATATTGTAATACCAATAAAACAGTCTACTTTATACTGTATTACTTTCCTGTTGTCCCTAATTTTTCTCCCAAGTTTCCATAAGATACATTTACAATAGTTAACTATTTACTAATAATTAAAACCCATTCCTCATCTTCAACAATTTCATTCCCTGCCTATTCCCCCAATGTTCTCAAACCCAACTGCTTTGCCATTTCAATACCAAGAAAAGTCTAGCATCTCCCCCAAGAAGATATTTGTTAAAAAGGGGGCATGGGGGGGAAGGGAAAGGTGGATAGGACATGGCTTTTCCTTACTTGTTCTGTTTCTGATATAATGTTGCAAGAGCATCAAGTTCACGAGCAATCCTGAGATGATCAGATCCATAAGCATTTTCAGAGATTTCAAGAGCTTGCTTATATAATTGTTCAGCATTGCCATATTTCTTCCATTGCACATAGACACTAGCTAACTGATGAAGTGACTGGGCCACTCTGGGATGATCAGGATCAAGGGCAGTCTCTCGAATCTCCAGGGAGCGCTGCAATGGAGCAATTGCCTATAAAGAAGGTGGGTTTTCTTTTTAGAAAAGGATAGGCAGTAACACAAAAAAATGGTCCTTGGCATAATTCTATGCAAAGTAGTTCAATTCAGTAAAAATGACAATATGAGATAAAACTTATTGCTCAACTTTTACACATATCTTACACCTACTGTCAAATCTCCATAACTATGAAAAGTGGGAAATTTGTTTAAAAGAAAGAGTAAAGTTGTTCAACCTAAAACTCAAGTTTCCCCAGAAATCTGACTCTACACCTGCCTCTGAAAAAACACAGAGATTTGAATGTGTCTTCTTTTCTGGAGAGATACTTACCTGACTGAGAAGACCCAAGTCTTTAAGAAATCGTCCCAGAGTCTCATAAAGATCAGCCAGACAGATCATGCTTTCTTCTCCTTCACAGCTTTTCTCATATAACTTCAGAGAACTAAAATATTCTACTGCCATGGAGCTTTTGTCTTTCCCAAGAAGCTGCCAGTAGCTGAGAAGTTCTGCAAAATGTCCCCTATAAGCAGTAAGTATAATTCATTAAAATGTTCCAAGGAATCTTATTAGTCAGGTTAATATATTGTGTGAAGCCATAACATTGATGATTTAGCTCAGTATGTTGAGCTACACAGCTTTATATGAGCTGAACTGGACCACAATAAGTTGCTCCTAGTTTAAAAAAATTAGTCAGGGCAATGCCTGAACCAAGCTGGTGATACAAAAAGCCCCGAATAAATAAGCATCATTACAATTTTGTAAAGGAGCTGAAATACAAAGTTTTTCAACAGGCGCCTCTACATCTTGTAATCTATGCCTGCCATACTGCTGTTGAAATGGCTAGCATTCAATTTGGAAAGTTAGTGGTCAGAATAGTGGCTCTCCTTCCTACAGAGCTGCATTACCCTGCTAGGAAATCACGCTCCTAACAATAACATCAATTTAAACACTTTCTAGCAATGTAGAAGCATACTCCAAAGAGCATAAGTAGAAATTCATAAAACATTTCTTTAATATATTTATAATAATATATATATTTAGAAGACTTTTACAGCCAGCTAATTTGTGTAATCATGACCCCAGGCAGTATGTATCAAATAGCCCCCCCCGAAAACTATGGTAAACATAAAATATTTTATGGCAAATTAAAAAGACATACATCAACAAGGAACCAACATCCATAATCCAATATATTTTGCAATAGAAATTTTCTGAACTCAGACCATCCTGTTCTGATCTGTTCAAACTTACAAAAGCAATCCAATCTTGAAACGTGTTTTCCTAATCAGAACATTATGTTTTGAGGTCAGATTATTTCTTCTATACTCAGAATGGATTGGTTCCAAGGTTAGAACTCTTTGACTTTACAATGTTTTCAACATGTAAAATTATAAATTCTGAAATTACAGCAGTTTCTGGGGCTCTTTTTATGTATACGATTTCTTGAGAAGTCAGTATTTCCAACAGATGAGTGTATAAATACTTTTAATATCCATACAAATGAAATAAACAAAACCTAGCCATCCCTATCACATCCCCATCCCCCCCCCTTTTCCTGCTGTTTATATCTTAAAGCTTTTATAAATCTGAATGGGAGCTCTTGCCCTTATTGCTTGATTCAACCCATCCTGAAAGCTTAATTCAACCCATCCTGAAGCCAGAATTAACAAATGTATATATTTTGGATCACATGCATATATGAATATATTGAATTACCCAGATAAGCTATCCATCCCAAAGGACAGCAGTGTCCATCTCTCCTCCCTAGGCTTTTTTAAACTGCAGTTTCCTGGGACTGAAACTGACATTTCCTCCATAAAAAGAACACGCTTTGTACACTGAACTAAACTTCTTCCCTAGTTAAGCAAAAGGATGAAGGAGCAGCAACACAGACATAGAGCCAAGATAAACCAAAACTAAAGCAAACAATCTTTATCTTTGCCACCCACTGCCCCACTATAAATAGCAGATATCAACAATCTCTGCCCTCCAGATAGTTTGAACTGCAGTTCCCACAACCCACTCTCAGTTACTATGGTGGCTGTAGCTAATAGGAATTGAGGTCCAAATCATTAAGAGGGCTCCAGGTTGCCTACCTCTTGTATAGTTCTTTCAGCAAACTATCTCCCCTCTGTGCACTTTAGATATTTGATCACAAATATAGAACAGAGAGCTTTTTATTCCTCTCTCCAGTTTAAAACAAAAGTGCCTGACAGGGCTAAAAGGATAGTAAGACAGAACCTCTGAACTGTAATAAGGAAAAAGTATACCAAAACCTCTGTTGCTATTCACATTGATTTGGGAAGAATTCTTTTACTAGTTTCTTGCTCTGAATAACCGAAATGCATAACTACAGAGCTGTACCATTTGTTATTTCACTCAACAGAATTCCACATTTATTCAAAAACAAATCTCGAGACCAGAAACCTACAACAAAACCATAGTCTAAATACTGTGTCCTTACCTTTTATAAAGATTCTGGGATACAAAGAGATTCAGCAAGCATTTATGTAACTTCTGCTTGTCCCCTTGTTGCTGGAACAACCAGGGCAATTCATCTGCACTCCTCCAAGTCACTCTTTCTTCACTAAGGTGATTGTAATGGAACAGGCGAGAAAGCAAATTGCAAGGGAAGGAGAATAATTATCTAAGTTACAGCTAGAATTATAATACTATTTTGCAAAATCATTTCTTTGAACATAAAATATGTATCTGACATTTCTACCTATAATGTCTAATGAAATGTGTTTAAATTTGTAGTGATAAAGTAAAAAAGATCAGAGAAAATAAAATAAAAAATGTTCTTCTGTAGCTGTACACAGAGCTATGGTACAAAAGGAGACAACCAGAAATGAGGGAGGAATTTACTGCCTGGGGAACTAGAGTATCTCAGAGAAAATTCTACTAAAATGAGTCAGTGATGGAAATGAGATTTGAAATATGGAATTCCTGAGTTATACTTTAATCCTTTAGCTGCCCTACTATATAATATTTAAAGTACAATAACATAGTGTGCAATATGTAGGACAATCACATAATACTGGTAGTCTTTATCATCTGCAGGTATTCTTTTCAGCAAATAGCCACAGATAATGAAACTGCAGATAATGAGAATGTGAAAAAACATGTATGGGTAAAAACCCATCTGCCATTTCTACATGCTTAAAATACACAAAAACATGCCCAAAATTGTGACTTATGTGATGCCATTTACCATGGATACCAAAGTCTGGGATGTATGTATTTTCTGATGACAGATACTGCTGACAACAAGATGATTATAACAAAAGCTACCTTCAACATTTATTAATAATTTAAATATTCATTAAATCATTTCTGTATCTCATAATCTGAAAAGCTCACCTCAGTTGCCTGGTAAAGTAGTCTATTAGTTTTTCTCTGTAAGAGGCAAAACCATTCTGACTTCCTTCCATATATTCCACTTTCACTATTTCCCAAGCCTAAAAAGGGACATCAACTCTACTGTGTAATAACAACAACAACAACAAATGACAACAACAATAACTCAATAAACTTGTATGCTACCCGACTCTCAAAGACTCTGGGCGGCTCCCAACAATCAAACAAAGAAATTACAATAAAATCAATAAAGGAGAAAAGATAAAGATAAAAGATGGCAAGCACAATGAAGTGAGGGGTCTCACTCTGCCCTGCCAAAGGCCTGGGTGAAGAGCCAGGTCTTTATGACTCTTCTAAACAACAGCAGAGTGGGGACCATCCGGATCTGGGGAGGGGACCTCATTCCAGAGGCAACCACTGCTACAGAGAAGGTGTGCTTCTGGAGTCCCAGTAGATGACACTGTTTAATCAAAGGAACCCAGAGCGCACCAACCCTGCAGGATTGAATCCGTGTAAGTTTCTCTCTCAAATGTGTATCATAAACGATAGTCAGCAAGTCACTTCCCAGGAAGTAAAAGAAAACTCCAGCCTTATACATGCATAATTAGAAATGCTAGGCTACTAAAGCAAAAATTTGTAAGGAATTTTACTTTAGGAATTTGCCATTTCTTGCCTGCTGTGTGACTGTAGATGTGTGACAGATTTCCCATCAGTACTGGATAATATAATTTGTTTTCTTAAGAACAAGGAAACAGCAGAAATCTTGCAAATAAAAATTGTAGACATTGTATTAAAAGCAATATATTAATTGACTTTGCCTTTTATTCAGTTATTTCTAAGCTTTAAAAAAATCTATCCTAAACATTAGCAGAAACTAGCAGATGAGTAGATACAGTAGATACGGTAAGTTAATTAAGTGACTAATTTCTTTGCCAAAATACCTGAAAGTGCTGAAAGCTTAATAAGCCACATCTATATGTCAAAATGCACATCTTGTGCATATTGTACATTAAGGAGGCCAGGATTTCCCACGATAGTTCAGGGCAGAGTCCCATCAGTTCTGATTCACTGACTCCATTGTGACTAACACTGATGAGGCACAGAATCTACAGAACAAACACATGGACAATTTTAAAGTATTTATCATGAATTCCTTATTGAATCTGCCACCAAGACAGATAACACAGCACCATTAACAAAATCAGTAGATGCTTTAGGACTAAACGACATTTATCTGTATATGTGACTTTTTTCTTTATTGGGTTCCCCGTCACAGAAAAATCATCTATATGGACATCAAAATCAAAGTATCCTAATACTTTCCTTTGCATAATACACAAAGGGCTTATTTAATTGTATTTTTGTTTTGTTTTTAGAGTTTTTATTATACTATTTTTCTTCTAGATTGGTTGTTGGCTGCCCAGTTATTCATGTGAGATGGATGGCCATATACTTTTCTAAATAAATAAGTAATAGGTTCACACAGGCAAGCAATTTTTTAAAAAAAATAACATCAATTTTTCAACATGAGTCTTCTACAAGAGTTTATAATGAAACAATTATAAACTGTTTTGAAAGACAGATGTTAGACCAAGGAATTTTGGTGACCACGGAATTAGAGTTCAAAGGGGACATTTAAATTACCGAGTCCAATTGCCTGGAAAATGTTAATGAAAGTATACCAATGACTCCTGGGGAACAGGGGAAACTATCAGTCTCCCATCTTATTAGAGGAGTGAAAAACTGAACTCACTTGCCTTTCATTATCCATATATTAAATCAGTGTTTTTCAAACTGATTTAGTATAAGCATGCTAGCTAGGGTTCTGGGAGTTGAAGTCCACACATCTTAAAGTTGCCAAGTTTGAAAAACACTGTGCTAAATGAAATGCCATAACCATAACATTATATGTGCTACTGCAAAGAAAGTTCCATCAACCTTGCAAACTTGCCTGCTTCATGAGACTTTTCTCTTTTTCACTTTTCAAGGACTCTTCAATTGATCTCAGAACTAGCTTGTAAAGAGCCATGACATCCTGGCACTGGAAACACTTCTGAAGGAGTACATCAATATCTTCTGTGCTTCTAGTTCTGAAGGACATAAAAGGTTTTAAAAGGATAATATACAATAAATTCGAATTTCACTTGAAATAGCTAAGTATTTAAAATCACGAACCTTCACAATTGCTATACATCTATATAACTAAAGCTCAAATGTTAATACATAAGAGCATCTGCTGATGAATGCCACATTTTGTTAACAAGGAGGAGAAAGAGGAAAAAAAGAGATGAAAAGATGACTATGCTTTTAGGCAAATAATTTGCCTGCAAGATATGTTTTATCAGTCATAACATTTACGTGGCAAACCATCGAGCAGAAATCCTTCAGGGAAAGAACTATACAGTAACTAAGTCTAAATAAAACACTTAAATTTACTAACACAAAAGATGCCTAAAGTTAGGTAAGCTAAAGCAAAGCAGGTCCCAATATAAATATTATACAAATAAAAACTGTTAATAAACTTCTGTGCAGTGAATGTTTTATAGTGAGAGGGATTGATGCTTATTAAAGGTTACAGCTTTTGTGCTTGTGCTAAGTCATAGTCTGTGGAGTTATACAGACCCCATGACTTCACTCATAATGTGGGGTCAGCTTTCTCCAATATAGTGTCAGCCAGAAGGTTTGAGACCCAGGGCACATCAGAAGGGTAACAGGTTAGAGAAAGCTAATGTGGCTCATTAAACCAGCAGAAGCTACTGCCACATATGACATAACAGTGGTGTCAAGCAAATTACCTATATATTCCATAATGCAACAGAGGGCAGGTTGACCTAGGGATAAAGGTAGGGTGTTTATTCCAATGCTTATATTTACAACGGTTGAGTCCATATATCAGTCTAAGGCAAGGTTTTAACCATGGTTTGCTATATCAACCATAATTGGCTAGATGCATACAATATGGTAAGCCCAAACAGATCTTTATTATTTAGCATAATCCTAACCAATATTCTGCTTCAGATAGAATGTTATGATACAACTGAATATACAGAAGCAGTCACTCAGCTTATTAGAAGGGCACTTTGGGAACCAAAAGCTAGCTGAGCCAGGGAGGATCCATGTTTGAATGGGATATAATCTCTTTGCAGACTTGCCCAGCAAGTAACCTTTGCTAGTGATCATGATGAATGACTGTATGATGAATATTCGATCTACATACAATCCATTCTGATTGCATAGCTGCATGGAAATGTAACATCATACTAAGATGGACTAACACAACAATGTCAGGAGAAGATCAACATATGACTGATAAAAGTACCAAGAGTTAGGACGTGAATTTCCATGATCAAAAGCTGCACAAGGACAGCTAGATTTCTCTGCAAACTGTCTGCTAAACTATAACAATATTCCATGACAAGACTGATGAAAACCAGCTAGTCCAATATGTTTAGGTTATAAAATAGGAGTAATTGAAGTTTATAAGGGTGTGCATGTGGTGCGTTAAGAGCTTCTCTTAACTATTTTGCTATTTTGTTTGCTGCTTTTTGCCTGCTATTTCTTTTTCACACTGGGAAATATTTCTGGAATCAAGAAATAAAACAGCTTTTGGTAATTATCCAATTCCTAATGTAGATACTTCTCTGCATACATTAGTTGGGAAAACTGTTGATCAGCAATGTGTACCTCAAATTAGTCATGCTGGAACTGATAAAGGGGACAATGGTGTTCAGGTTTTGATTCAATAAACGTTTGCTATTGTTGTACTGTGTACTGTTGCCTTCTGTGGTGATTATGCCCAAATGGGACAAAGATCCTGAGAGGGGAAGAAATCAGTTCTCTACATTTTTTCCTTGGAGTTGTGGTCTTACCACATGTGGAGAACATCAGCTGGGGAAGGCTTATCTACAGTATAAGTGAGACAGTACTTCCCAAATAATTCTACAAGTTATGACCTGGTTGGCACCATAGCTGTAAACCTTTTAAAACTACAGTAAATAACAATAAAGGAGATCAATCTAACAACCAATTATCAAAACAGTTGTGAAAAACAACAGATTGCCTAAATTGCAGTCTATGTTCTTTAACAGCATGAAATTAAGTTGCAAACTTTTGACTGTCAAGATCTTTCACAGTGAGGAATAAAACAAGCAAATAAAGAGGGGGAAATGTGCCTCTAGTTAAAAATACTGCATATAAGAATCTTTTGCAAAGAAAACATCTTATGTGATAAATACTGTAAACCCTTGATTCAATGGCCTAATCAAGGGCTGCCTGTTAAAGCCTAATGATCGTTAAATGATGGATGGGATTTTTTGAGCCCCAAAACACACTTGGACTTTGTGCCAGCTGATGCAGCAGTGGGAATGGCAATGGCAATGGCAATGAGGAAGAGAGGCAGAGGGAAAGAAAGTAGGAGTCAACCATGATGCAGGTGCCTTCGCTGCAGCTGTTAGGTGCAGAAACCATGTTGCTAAGCAATGGTAGCCATGCAGCACTTGGGGTCACCAGGAGCAGGTTACCACCTTCCAGTTGTGTTGAATGATACCCCCATCATCCCATTTTGCTCAGGCAGGGTCCATTATTGCCCACAATTTGGACAAACCTCAAAGCCCACAAGTTGTAACAATCAAATCTAAACTCTAAACTGAGATCCATTAAATCAAAGTTTTATTGTAACATTTAATTTCCAAATTAGAGACTCTCTTCTTTTTTAAAAAAAAGCATTTTACAAATCATAGAGCTTGAATTTAAAAGCCATCGAGGACTAGATTATTATAATAATCTATTAGGATCGCGCCTGTGCGTCCTCTCTTGGCCCATCACTCCCGGCGCTCCCCGTGGTACACGGAGGAGTTGAGGGAGCTGAAAAGGGCTAAGAGACGGCTAGAGCGCCGCTGGCGGAAAACTTGGGACGAATCAGACTGAACACAGGTTAGAGCGGCTATTAAGCCCTACCTAGTGGCGGTAAGGGCAGCGAAATGTCAATATTTCTCTG